GTTTTGAATTCTTGATGCGACTGATCTGCTCTTGCTGTACAGTCATCTGATTAGTCGGCGTTAAAATTACCGCGATAAAATTGCTTGCGATTATATTACTGCGTTATATATGAACTAACTACCATAATATTAATATCTAATTTGGAATGCGTTCAGAAATGTACTAAAATAGCGTCGATGTAATGTACAGAGCAAGACAATCGTCATTGAAATTAAATTTTTACTGTTTAAGAAGCATTGTAAATTTTTTCTCTGTAGCACAGGGCCCCTGAACTTGGCGGGGCCCCTAGGTAGGTGCCTACAGTGCCTAATGGATAAAACGGCCCTGCTGGAGACATCATGGTCCATCACGGATCATCATGAACTGTTGCTCCATGAGAATCAAACTTCTCTTAATGGTTAACCATCATAGTATATAAGTTGCATTTTCCTTCTATAATGATGAAAGTTTGCTGGCATATCAAATACCATGAACAAATAATGAAAAATGTTGGATGATGATGACCATCAAATGATGTTGGACCATCATGAATTGCACTGAAACCAACATAACCCATCAAAATGTTTTGATCTGAGAATTTCGACTTGGTAAAGCTCCCCTACATATAATACTCGTCTCACTTCATTCTTAAATTGTCTCACTTCATTCTTCAATTGTCTGACTTCATTCTTCAACTGTCTCACTTCATTCTTCAATTGTCTCACTTCACTCTTTAATTGTCTCACTTCATTCTTCAATTGTTTCACTTCATTCTTCAATTGTCTCACTTCATTCTTCAATTGTTTCACTTCATTCTTCAATTGTCAAACTTCCCTCGTATCTCCCCTACTTATAGTATAAGTTCTTTCAAGAAGTTCAATATTTAAAACTTTTAATCATTATTTTTTTAGTACGATAGATTTAAAATTTGTTTCAAGTTAAGGTTGCTAACTGATACGAACAATTCTTTCACAAAATCTATAATTTACAATAACAACGTCTTAGGACAAAATTAATAAAATTAATAAAAATCATTGTTACAAATCCATTAGTCACCAATTTAGTGAGATTTCTGGTTTCCCTTCTTTTTCCGCTAGAGTGTTTTAATCTTCTTAATTCAAATGTTTTGTCTCAAAAGACTTTATTCTATAACATAATAAAGTTATCTAACATCACTTACAATAGGAAATTGTTCCATAATTTAGAATAATTTGTAATTGAAAATTGAGTTAAATATATTGATAAAGTGAATGAAAGCCACCTAAAACATCATTGCTAGAAATTATAATTTAATGATTAAGTCTCCCGTATATGCTTCATAGTGAATTCATGGCATGCTTTACTCTTAGATACATAATTTCATTAATTTGTTTCAATCTAAGAAATAAATTTGTTTTTAGAGACCCTTATTCTAGGAAAACATTGAAAAGCAAAATTAAACTATATGTAATTCACTGAAAAGAAATCATACATAGCGATATTTCCTTATTTAAAAAAGTTATGGGAATAAAATATAATCACAATGAGATTCATATTCTTGACTCTCATATCTTTTTGAATTTTAAAACAATAATTTTGAATTATATTAAATTACATAATTAGAGCAGACATTCTCTTTTAATAATTTTTATTATAAAGAACTTTCGTCACAGTGCGTCATATTATCATAGTAGTGTCGTCATAGTCAAATTTAATATTCAATTTATTATGACTAGAAAAATGTAAATTGTTAATTATATGAAAAATGTTATTGAATAGTACAAACTTATCTATTGTAAGGTACTTACAAACTATTAATATGAAAAATATTATAGAATAATACGAACTTACCTTTTATTACAGGAGTTGAAATTATAACTGGAGTTAACAGGAGTTGAAAGGAGAAAATTAATAACAGATACAGCCCCATGTTTTTACCTGTAAAAATCACCAATATGGCATTAAACAGATTAATTTTAACAGCGGTGTTAAACACTGGCTTTAAAATATGGATTTACTTTTATGAGTAATCTATATTTAATGTTCATTACCTACGATAGTCTTGAGAACAAGCAGGGAAAGTAACACACAATTGTCTCGCAGTGACGTAAATAAAGGGGAGAGATGCGCAAAGGACAACGGCGCATACTCGTAAAATCAATGAGATGATAAGAAAGAAATAGAAAGCTCTTGACCATTTAAATAGGTATTAAATTAAATGGTTTCATTTTACGACGCTTAATACGAGTTTTAATAAAATGTCACCTGACATTTTGAATTTACTTATTTTTTTCATTTTTATACATATTTTTTAAATGAACTTCCAATTTACGTGGATTACACTGTTTTTGTAAGATGGCAAGTAAAAGTTAGCGAATTAATCTTTTTATTTAGGCAAAAGTTTTCTTCTTTTTCAACTCTCGTATTATTAATTTTTTAATTGGTATTATAGAAGCTTCTGTAATTATTATTATTTTTAATAAATAAAAATGTTTTAAATCAAGATACATTGAATTATAATGTTTGTTTTTTTTAATTACGAAAATAGCTCTTATCAATAGAAGTCTTATTTGTTTTTCCGCTCTGGTATAATAAATTTTTAAACTGGTTTTATAGAATCGGCTGTAATTATTATTATTTTAAATAAATAAAAATGTTTTAAATAGAGATACATTGAATAATAATGTATTTTTATTTTAGTTACGAAAATAGTTTTTATCAAAGATATTTGTTTTCAAAAATAGATGTCTTATTTGTTTTTTTTTCCGCTCTGGTATAATTTTTTAACTGATATTATAGGAGTGGCTGTAATTATATTATTATTTTAAATAAATAAAAATGTTTTAAATCAAGATACATTAAATTATAATGTATTTTTAATTTTAAGACGAAAATAGTTTTTATCAAAGATATTTGTTTTCAAAAATAGATGCGACGATGTCTTTTTACGGCATTATACTTTTAAATAAAACACGATAGATTAAAAACGAAGATAAGTTTTAATCTGATTTTTCCGTGGTAAAATGCAATTTCAATTGTTTGAGGACCTAACCTTAAATATGCTAAGTAATTTGTAAAGGCGATATTTTAACTCCTGGGACGTACTTGCTTTCATAAAAGACTTTTTGAAGGAACTAACCAACATTTACGTTGCATGGAGAGAAAAAACACGAAAACCTCTTCCGGTTAGCTAGATGGCAAGGAAATTCTAACTCATGATTCGTGTACTAACTTCAATTCATCCTATTCTAATCACTTGCCCTTATTTTAACCAACATCACCTTGGGAGTAAAATTTTATGTATCAAATGTACTTGTTAGATAAAAATCATCATCCTAATGTCTTTGCATTTTTACGCGCTATTGCAATTTTAAGTTCGATATAATTGCTTCCTACTTATTACCATTTTAGTAAGTTTACCCTAAGTTTTATCCATTTTGAATCATTTTATTGTGTTATAGCGTTTTCGATATCTTATCTGATTTTATACACGTGCTTAACTTTTAATCTGTCTTTAAACCATGTGTTTGGTGCAGCATGTCTTCTTTTGTGCCCTACATTCAATTCTGTCTACTAACTCCTGATATATTTTACGCCATCACTGTGATTGGTGCGAGCCTGGAACAGAGTTCGCAATAACCAACCTGCTCTGGGATTCTGACCTGAGTAAACTCATTGAGCGTTCTTTCTCCTGAGCCCTAACATGGGGGATAGGCGAAATCTGAAAAACATTTTCTTGATAGTTTATAATGCGAGAAATTTCTTCGAATTCAAAGAGTTGGTCGTTAATTCATTCGGCCTAAGCCTAATGTCAGTAATTGTAACGAAATTCAGTAACTGTAGTTATGATCGGGATAACCTGGATGGTTGGTAGGGCACTGGGCCCATGTCCAAGAGGTAGTGGGTTCGATCTCCGCCAACCGAAGACTTCCCGCGTAGCAAATGGTGACTGATGCACGTTAAATCTGTCGAGTCACAAAGTCCTCCATGTTCCCTTAACAAATCATACCTCTGGGAGTCACGGAGTTACATTGTCTTCTGGATTGGTTAAAATCACAGCGATACGGAGTTGAAGATGATTAATCCCTGGTCTGCCGTTCAACGACGGCTATAAAATAAGAGTTAATTTATAGCTTTTTTGCATAAAAAAACTGATTGTGGTCGGGCTCCACACCGTTTCACCTGGTGGTCTTCGATCTCAGACATCTCTCCACATTAGTGACATTCTTGACAGCTCTACATTATTATTCAAACTCGTTCCACGGTTCACGTCGATTCTATAAACGCTTGAATCTCATACAATGTCAAGACTGAAAATGTATATTTTACAATGATGTATATTTTACAAGACGTATATTTTAAAATGAGAACTGTTTCAAACAGGCTTTGTTATTTTTCGTCGCGATTTCCTCAATGCTGCTCTATATGATTTCAATGACGTTTCTGTTTTTCCTTTAAAATAATTTGGGACCCCTCATGGGCACTTATTATGTGACTTAATTTAATGTTCTTTTTAGACAACTAACAAAAATTTATACCGAGTGTGGTAATTTCTGCATGTCTAAGGCAAAAGTTTTCTATAATGTTTAGTTTGCTATAAATTTTTATATTGTAATTAAAATGGATCACGAACTCTTGTTAAATCATAATACACTGGTGGACTATCTAAAAAAATACTGAATATAAATAAATGAAATTTGGTATGGATATAGCTTATTCCATGATAATAAAGTATGCAAAACAAAAATGAAAGTGCCATTCACTGGCAAGACCTAGTGCCAATAAATCGCATGTAGTCTGGACTTAAGGATAAAAGATGACAATAATTGTGAGGCTTGTACAGCGAGTGTTGCCTCTAGTATGATGTATGGTCACCCCTGACAGACAGACAGCATGCACAACGAGCATGCATACTGTTAATAAGGGAGCTAAGGAGAACTTGTAGAAGACCCTCCCATTCTTCCACCAGATAAATTTTTAACTCCAGAATGGTTCTGGGGGGAGGTTGGCGCATCGCAATAGCTCTCCCAAGAGCATCCCAAGCATGTTCTATAGGATTCAGGTCAGGGGATTTGGCTGGCCAATCCATTCGTTGAATATCCTCGCTTTCCAGATACTCATCAACCATGAGAGCCCTATGTGGTCGCGCATTGTCGTCCATAAAAATGAACTCAGGGCCAACAGCGCCCCTGAAAAGACGCACATAGGGCTCTAGGACCTCCTGCCTGTACCTCTGGGCATTCACGGAACCATTGTCAAACACATGGAACGGTGTGCGGATATCTTGCATGTGCGAATGAATGTGCGAAAATGCTTTCCATCTCTTAATTTTGTTCACCAGTGTATGATGCAAGCAGTGCAATTGTGCAGTGGCAGTATGGCCTCAATCTGGAAAAATTTCAAATGATTTCATGACGTTATCGCAAATTTTAAATGCTGTAATTTCACGTTAATTTTGGAATTTCAGCTGATTAGTTGCAGCACAGATATTTTATTTACGTTTACATTTTTTGGAGCCGTGGTGGCTCAGTGGAGGGAGCTTTCGCTTTCCAATGAGGTGAACCGGGTTTGTATCCCAGCCATGTTTGGACGATACGAATTCCACCCCCAACTAACACCGACCACAGTGCTGACGTAAAATATCCTCAGTGGTAGACGAATCATGGGTTAGAGTCCCTTTGCCATCAGGCTTAACCGTGGGAGGTTTTAGTGGTTTTCCTCTCCATGTAACGCAAATGCGGGATAGTTTCATAAAAAAAAGTCCTCCACAAAGGCAAATTTCTCCTAATACTTGATCCAGGAGTTCCCTTGTCTTCTGGATCAGATTTAAAATTTCAAGGCAACGAAGTTGAACATTAGTAGCCGTAAACCAAAAATTGGGTCTGCCGAAGTCAAAATTCTTGATGGTCCTATCAAACTACTTCGGTGGTTTATGTAGGTTTCTGCGCAATTCATGATAGTCCGACATTTTTTGAAGGTCACTATCATTCAACATTTTCTATTACGTGTTCATGTTGTTTGATATGCCAGCAAACTTCCATCATTCTGTGATGGAAAATGATGCTTTAATACTATAATGGTTAACCATCAAAAGAAATTTGACTCCCATGGACCAACAATCCATGATGATCCGTGATGGTTCATGATGGTTCCAACTATATATTTACACGATGGTTTAATGGGAATTCTTGTTGGTTTTCAGGAATATACCATCAAAACTATTTGGGCTTTTCTTATGTTGAACCATCGTAAATCAGTCCGAATTCCTACATTGGGATGGTGGTTGTTCATGATCGTTTCATCATTTGATTTCTAAAAAATGATGGTGGAAATTCGTGATGGTTAAGCATGAACAAACCATCAAAACAAGTTGAAATTCTTACGTTGAACCATCACAAATCAGTCCGAATGCCTACATTGAGGTTACTTATGTTGGTACCATCAAAACATATAATTGTTCATGATGGAAGTATTGATGGTTGCCATCAAGATTATTTCGGTCCATCAATGGAAAACCATCAACAATTATGATTTGGGTGCTCAACGACGGTAATAAAATTAATTAAAATTTTGGTCAATTTTTATTTGTTAAAACATTTTGTTTCATTGATCTTCTACCCATTTTTAAATTTTTGGAAAGTGTCAAATCGGAGTGAAGAATTGATAGATTTTAAACTTAAAAATCTCGGAAACAAACAGTGATAAAAGAATAAAACAAACAGTACGTTTACTATGAAAGATTTGAAAATTTTATTATGAAATTTTAAAATATAGTTACAATAGATGACAACAGAGTGCTTTGTAAGGTATCGATAATCTGACCGATTAGCTCTAGCATTAAAACATGAAAGGAAGTTACCGTGCCGGAATAGGAAATTTAAATTATTCTAATCAACAACGTATGTTTCTGGTTCTGGCATAACACATGTTAGATTATAGCCCAACGCCATTTGTTTTCTTTTCTAAGAACTCCGCAAAGATATCTGTTGGCAACATCTTTAACAAACTTTTGCAGCTCGATATATTTGTTTCATTCCTCTGTCCCTTTTTGTTTTCGGGATTTTTTATTTTTAAATCAGTCAGTTTTGAAATCAGTTTTTTCTTACTTATTTCTGCACATTGACATAAAATTGCTTTTCGGGAAATAAAGTCTCGTGGGCCTACGTACCAATCATAGGAAATTTACATATAATTTTTGCATACATAATTAATGTATATCAGTAATTTTAGAGCGAAATAAAATAAAACAAAAATTACTTGTCGAACCTTGAGGCATCAGCTAAAATAAAATGTTCTTTGCTTAGTTTTACATATTGTAAGCCAAATTATAAACCAAATTATTTTTATGAAGGGGGATAATGTTGTACCTTGGACTAGTACAAACAATTGTGAGAGACTAGAGGAGAATTTCCGCATACATTTTTCTGTATTTAATACGCTGTACTGTAAAATGGAGTTATTTTATGACAAGTAAGGTTACTTGGGGGACGTTTTCTGGAATTAAATAATTTCTTGCGACAGAAAAAATAAGTTTTTTTTTAGAAAGTCTAAAAGCAGGTTGTGAAACATCTGTCATTTCTAAAATAACTTTTACTTCTTCACCTATAATAAATAATAATTTTTTTTCTGCCTGCGATAAACTATTTACGATATTATTATCAATTAGTTAGGAATTCCTAGTATATTGAATGTTTTTTATTTACAACATTTATGACTTTTAGTTCACATTGTTTTGATAACTAGCAATATTGTACGTGAATTATATTTTGTTGTCCTGTTTCGTTGCTACAAGTTTTGGCGCTACTATGAACCGAAATTGATTGTCACTACTTTTCGCTAAAAGTAGTGTAATGGAACATTTGTGGTGTTTCACAAAACCAAGAACTATCCTTGGTGTTTGATTTCACCAAGAATTATCTTTGGTGTTTCATAGGAACATTTTTCGTGTAAAGGAACATTTTTTGTGTTAAGATATCACTAAATTTTTTTACACTATGTGTATATTTAATAGAAATATAAAGTTTCTGCATTCAGTTACTTAAAAATAAAGAAAGAACTTTAACGGTTAACTTATATTCTAACAGTTTTAATCAATACATTCAATTGTATAGTTGCCAGCATTTTTAGTGCTGTGGTAAGCTAAATACATTTTTAAGTTCAGAATTGATTAAAATTGACAATATAATAATAGCTTGTTTGAGAGATTTAGGGCAAGTTTATTATTAAAAATGTGCTTGTTTGTTATGCGAAATGTTTTTGCGATGAAGAAATAAACTGATTCGAATGCGCATGAAAATATGTGTTTTCAGTAAACAAACAAACAAAAAATGAGTGCATGAATAAAACAGTTAAAAAGTTAATTGTGATTTAATTATCCCTCAAAACCACAAATGATGGCAACTATACCCCAAATTGTAAATACTGCGGTGTAAAGCTCACCGAATTTGGTATTAAAGTACTTAAAAAAATTGTTTGAAAGAATGCTCGATTTCAAGTTAATGGCAAATCTGGTGTTTATATATACTTTAAAGGGTGTAGTTAAATTTTTACGCCTATAATGGAAAATATTACACGCTCATTCATATCATTCATGAATTATTTTTAACACCAATACGTTCTTAATTATTGACAATGCTTACACCAAACTCATGCGTATTTACACCATTCCTAAACTATTTTCGTTTCAAAAAGCACCAATTTTAGGAAACTTAGTATATCATCAGTAGATTATTATTTACAATCGAGTACGATATTATGTGAATTTATTGTTTTCATTATCAAACATTTACCGAAACTGAAGTTCGCCTTTACAAAATGCAAGTATGTTTTTAGCTAAGTGATAAGGAAATTATATTTAAAACTTTAATTGTCTGTCAATTGTATTAAATAGTTTTATCATATTTTCTTACTATCCTCTTTTTTGTTGCCTTATTTGAATTCTTCTTAATATTAAATCGGTCTTAGGTGTATATTTGAACTAATTTTATTTAAATAATAAGTAAATGAATGCATCCTAAACTAAATGTTGTAAAAATAAATTTGCTGTGTAGCATTCCTTATTATGAATTTCAGTGTAACCGGATATAGAAGGCTTTACACCAAATAGTGTAAAACAAGACATATTTGCTGGTAAGATAAGCCAAAAAATGTTTCTATTGTACACAGTTTATCCAATTAATCGTTTAGGAGCATTTTTTACGACCGACTACTACTAGAAAGGTGAAAAAACGATGAATACAAATTTTTAACTAGCATGATTTCAAAAGCATGAAAAAGAATTCCCATCTATGCTTGTACTAACAATCCAGGTGTGCAGTCTTCAGGTGTTGAAGCTAATGGAAGGCTGGGATTCGATTTGGCAGATTATCTCTCTCGGCTAACCCACATGCAAGTAACTAAGCGGTTTCATAAAGTGGGCTTCTCGCTATTTAACAGCATTTAATAAGCGGTCACAATTAACAGATCCTATTATTTATGGTTAATTGGCTGTATTGCTTGAATATAGCAATTTAATAAATTGTTATTTAATCATTTTGTCGGAGAAATTTCTAACAGTGTAGACAAGTTTTATAGACATCTATTAAGAGCTATTAGGATTATCATATAGTAGCGAACAAAAAAAAAGTTCAAATATTTAATGTTTCGTTCCACTAAAAAAACTATATTGTGAATTCATGCCTTTTTCAAATATTAGATTCCTCTTGAACCTAAAAATTATTAGGAAATCTATATAGTTTGTCTAAAGTAAGGACTCCCCTAGCCATTCGTCTGTGGTAACGAGATATTTCAAGTGAGCGAAAATGTATTAGCCCGAAGAAAATCTACCCTCCCGGAAATGCGCTATTCTTAATGTCGTGTCAATTCAATTTTTTGAAGTGATCTATTCAGCAGACTTTGCGGTGGGGAGAGTTCTTACCATAGACAAACTATATTTGATGACACCCTATTTTCTTACCCTTTTATACGTACCTTAAGAACTCTGTGAGTAATAACACACTCTTCTAGTAATCTCCAAGTTCAAATTAATTTTATAATTTAAAATAAGATAATTTCCAAACTGTAAATTGACTTCATTTGTTGTACTCAAATTTTTTGAGCTATGCTAAATAGCTATTCAAAAATTTAAAAATACAATCATATTCTTTTGTTTCTATCACTCAACTGCGTAACTCAAAATGACTTATTTGTTTTATTTTATACAATATACAAAAGTTTTATACAAAATTTTTTCATTGGATCACTAGGTGTCTTAATAGAGAAATAAATAATCACATTTTACACACAAACATAGTAAAAAAGCTCCATACCACCACCAACAATTATTTTTGAACTATCGTTTCCAGTTTAATGAAAATTCAATGATATTTTATTGTTCATTTGATCGGTCATAATTTCTCCATTTTTCATCATTGTTCAAAGGGGAACTGCTTTTGTCCAAACTCCATATTTTGGATTTATCTGAGCTTGTCCCATTTTGAGAGTCAAATTCTAGAAACATTATAAATGATCATTTTTGGCATTTATTGGCAACTCTTTAGAATAAAATAATACTGCTAATAATTGATATGGAAAATATTTTCTCTCTTATCATGAGACATCAAAGAATATTTTTAGTTTAAGTAGAAGATTTTTAAAATGTTCGTGTATGCTTTACTATGTTGATATTTATCGAATTACGTTTTCACATTCTTTTCAGAAAAATAAAAAACGTACTTGCTATTTTACTTAAATATCCTCTTAAATTAATAGAAGATAAAGTAGAATATGGTTCTAGAATTAAATAATTTTTTTCATTTTAATTTTTCAAAAATTTTTTTTTCAAAAAAAAGTTCTTTTAATTCTTGACTTTTTCTAACATTGCATTCTGTTTAGAACAGATACCTAAAATTTTTTAGACCAATACTTTGCAAAAGTTATTAATTTACAAAGTAAAAATCTTTCATTATTTATGTATGCTGTAAAATGTTGAAAGTGGAGTTATTTATAAAAAAAGAGAATGTTTTAGTGTTTTGTAATGACCACCCTTAATATATATTTTTAGTTCCTTTATTGTAAAAAAGAACACATCAAGGATCGTAAATTAATTTCCTAGCGAATCAAAAGCAAAATCGCTATAAAAATCAGTCGAATCACAAATCAGGATGGCGGTGTGAAAAGCATCAAAAGCACATTGGTGACACGCTGATAGTTGGAGGTATTTTTAATAATCACTATTCAACTCCATCAAATAGATTTTGATATTTTTTGTTCCTATTTTCTGATTAAGTATTATTTTAGAGTTTGATAGTGTTTCTGTTCATCTAAACTCTAATTAAAGAACCTAAATGTATGTTCTTTTGTTTTCCTTTCAGGCAATTCAAAAAACATATATTCAAAGTGGTTATTATGAAGAAATCTGTATCTATTTTTCTATGATATTCGCTTTATGTTTTTTTTTCTAGAGATAGAATGAAGAAATCCATCTAGTGTTTGTTTTAAAAAGTACTGAATCTATTTTTTTATTCGTGTGTATAGAAAATGGAAAAAAAGATTAAAAAATTTAAAAACACGATTACATTGTTTAAACTACTATGAAATGTTTTATTTTTCTTTCAAAGCATAATTTTGTTTCATATATTATACAGAACAGAGCACTACATTTTCATAACATATATTAAGCATTATAAAGAGTGACCCAAAATTCATGCAAGATCTGAATCTTGAACCTTTTATGTAATAAAATGCTGCCAACGAAAACGGTATATATGATAGTTTAGGATAATTAAATAGATTTTTTCTCTAAGTCAATAATTAAGTAAGTCACTACACATTTGTCCGTTTATAGGTTTTTTAAAATTGAATTTATTTAATTAACATAATTAAATAAATTAACATTTAATTTATTTTATTTAACATAAATAACAGGAAATAGTTATTTTTCAAAAATTTAAAAACAGAAACATGTATAATTCTAAGAAAATGCTGATTGATTTGGTATAAATTTATGAGAAAAAAATCACGCAACACGGATCGTGATTGAATGAGGCTTTTATATGTTTCGAAACATAACTGCCGAATAAAGTAAACCATCAGTGTATAAAAGACATATTTAGAGTTCCCCGCAAATTATGCAGTTCTCGTTGTTGGATCGTTTTTTTTAATGAATTTAGAATTGTTAATCCTTCTCGTGTTTTTAAGAAGACTGCTGTATCTACGGAATGTAGCCAAAAATCTCAATTAATCCACACTTACGAAGTTGAAAACTTGTATAAAAATTACTTCTTGCTTGAATTTTGGGGCAACCTTTAAAAATAATTAGTTCTATACAGTTATTTTAGAACACTTGTTTTAGTATAAATTCAAAGAAACTTCATTGTTCATTTGATCGTTTCCCAATTTACATCAATATTCAGAAGGAAACTGCTTTTGTCCATATTCCATATTTGGGATTTATTTGAAATTGTCCCATTTTTAAAGTGACATTCTGAAAACATAGTAAACGTTCATTTAGTTTAATAGTAACAATATGGCATACTACTTTGCTTTCGTTTTTGTACTTCTTTTATAATCTACCAACATAAATATTTTCTTAAAATATCGTTACATAAAAATGTTTGAACAAAAATCACACTGATTTTGTACAATATTTAACAAAAATCAGTTTCAGATATCTCATATAGAAAATAACCGTTTCTTTTCTAATCTATAATTTATTTAATTGGCCTAAAATTTGAATAATAATACTATTCGGATAGACACTTGAGGACATATTAGAATTGATTCAAAAGTGGGTATATGTTAAGAGTAAAATATTCTTAATATTTTGAATAATTATTAATTGCGCAAAAAAGAGCATTCTTTGATTCAGATGCATGGGTTGAGTGATTAAATATTATACTCAAATATATATTAAATAATTCGTATATTTGAGAGAAAGATTTCGCCGAATATACTTGGTGGTGTACATAAAAATAGATAGAATGAATTGGATGGCCCACGTGATTCCAATGAGTGATGACAATGCAATAAAAAAGATGATGCTTTTTAAACCCACTGGAACAAGAAAACGGGAATGGCCGTCGTTGAGATGGGCTGACTCAGTGGAGTCTAATTTTCTTGCAATGAAAGGAATTGGATACCAAAAATAAATCGGAAGTCATTATGGAGAAATCTTCAGAGGAAAGCATTGCCCCACATTGGGCTGTCTCGCCAACTATGATGATGATGATTATTAATTCCTGCTGACGATATTACAAGTAACGAAAGAGGGTGCTTTCTCTAAAAAAAATCATCCTACTGCGATAGGTTTGGATTCTTGACTTTCAAAATATGAGGCGGCTGCCGCTGTCTAAAAAATAGGGTCCCTATAGTTTAGGTTGGAGAACAGTTCAAAGTTTGAGCCCCTTAATGTTATCCAAAAGGATATGGTGTACTTTGTGCTACGCAGACTAAAGTGAAAAAACGAAAAACAAGTACAGACATGGACATACTATAGTTTCGGTTTTCTATTCAAGAGCCTTCCTCTGTGTCTAAACATCAAATTTATTTTGAAGCTTTAGTTTTACGCTAAAGAACCGAAAATATAGTATTTTGTTTTATTTTATAATCGTCGTTGAACAGCAGACCCAATTTTTTGGTTAACGACTACTAATGTTAAACCCAGTAGCCTTGTAATTTTTAACCTAATCCAGATGACAAGGGAACTCCTGGATAAAGTATTGGGAGAAATTTGCCTTCGTGGAGAACTTTTTTATGCAACTAATTCGCATTTGCGTTACATGGAGAGGAAGACCATTAAAATCTCCCACAGTTAAGCCTGTTGGCAAAGGGACGCTAACCCATGATTCGTCTACCACTGAGGATATTTTACTTCGGTACTGTGGTCGGTGCACGCCGGATGTGGAATTCATATCGACCAGCCATTGCTGGGATTCGAACCTGGTTTGGAAGGCGAATGCTCTATCCCCTGAGCCATCCAAGACTATAGTATGTCAATTTCTCTTCTTGATTTGAGCTTTATTCAAGTTGTTTTTCATTTTACCCTTTAATGTTAATTTCACTTTTTGCTTATTTCGCCACGTCTGTGGAATTAAGGAGCTGAATGAACCTGTTTTTCCCAACACTTATAAAACTTGTTTTTTCAAAAACAATTTCAAGCAAAATGTATTTTTAATTGTTTATTATATTTTATCATTTGAATTACTAATTACTGCTTACGATTGCTCTTTCAATCGCTGTCTTACTTGTACAATAGGGACCATATCTTCCATATTAGGGCTACCCCCATATTTTAGGTTCAAAAATCCAAATCCGCCATCTAAAGTTCTTAATGTTCTAATTATTATTAGCTTAACATTAGCTCAAGCTTAATGTTCTAACTATTATTAACTGTACTAATTATTTAGAATATTTAAGATGAGACTCTCAAACCGTTAGTCCTAGTACACAAAAATCTGATCATCCTGTCAAAAGTTGTAAAGGTGTTATTTTTTTGTACATTATGATTATCTTCAAATGTATGCATCTGAAACTTTGCTGTTCCATTAAAAAATTAATACGCGTTTCAAAAACTGAATGAAGCAAATTAATGGTTGCTTAAAGTAATTATTCTGTATTCCAAAAAAATATGCAAGATTTACCTTTATGATCAACTTTAATACATATATAAAATCTCAGTAAAAAGATAGAGAATAGATACACTAACTAATTTTTTAGTTAGAAAGAACAAAAGCTTTTGCAAATATTATTGAGGTCAATAAAAGCTTTTTCTAACATTATGGAAGTCAATAAGAGAAAGAAAAGCACTTGGAAGCGAATATTTTACTAAAGGAATAACTTTGATGATTTTAATACTCCCTTTGCTCTCCCTAATTTCAATAATCATGTGTTTTCTCACTTATATAACATTAATTTTGGCCCCTAATGTGCACTGGAGTTTAAAAATATATATTAAGAGGAGACACTTTTCATGGCAAATTTTGTTTCACTTCCAATGGTATTTCAAAATTTAGGTAAATCTAGAGTAAACGAAGAAGTTTCAAATTATGGCAGGGTATATCGTTTCCATTTTCATATTTCGAAAATAAATTTCAGTATTCATTGACTTTTACATTACTTATGTTGGTAAAGAAGAATTCGCCATGAAAGTCCTCTTAAGGGTTTGTACAATAAAGAAATACTTACATCTTCAGTTTTAGAACATCTTTTTAATGAATATTTTGATAATATTTGTGCGAGAGCAAGTTTTGCCTCCATCAAGGCAAATCTCATTCCAATACAATTTCTGGGACCAGCTCCAAATGGTTGGTAAGCAATTGGATTGATTTTATCTTTGTTTTCTGGAGAAAACCTAAAAAAGGTATTTTATAATTTCAATAACAAAATTATGACACTCATTTAATGCTGGGAATGATTGAAATGAGTGGACAATCACTTTGCTCGACAATATATATTAGGTTCAGTTACGTTTGCCCAGTATGCCCTACATCAGTGTTTCCCAAACTTATGACAGCTGTGTACCCTTTCTAAATTTTTCGTAATTCCGTGTACCACTAGTAAAAAAATGAATGTATTTTTATAAAAGTGTGTATTTTTCTTTTTTCGTTCAAAGTTTTATTAATAAGTTTATTTGCATCAGTGAGAAAGATGATATTGTTTTTACTGTGATAACTGTTCATCATAATTCAGTTCTCTTGTGGTCAATTTTAGTCCGAGATGCGATTCCACGTTCAATAATCTATTTTTTTTTCGACTTAATGTCCGCGAATGCTGAAAAAGCGACTTCGCATAAATATGAAGTTGGAAAAGGCAAAATATATTTCACAACTTTTTCTGTTAAGACTGGATACATATTTTGCATTTGCAGCCAGAATGATGTTAAAGTACACTCCTCGTGTTTATTTTTCAAGAATCCGTCTGATGTCAATTCCAATAATTGCTCTTCTTCCGCATGCAGCAATCCTTCTGGCATGGATGTTGTTAAAGTTAAAAATCACAACTGGCTGTTGGCACCACCAATTATTAACTCTGTAATCTTCGAAAAATTGCCAATAGAAAAATACGCCGTAAATTTTCATGGCTAGCTTTGCTTTTAAATTTTCGTTTGTTGTAAGATATTTCACATAAGAACGCGTACCCCCGCTAAACTGTTCCCGTACCCCTGGGGGTACGCGTACCACACTTTGGGAAACACTGCCCTACATCAATGTTTTTTTTCTTAAGTTCCACTGCTTAATATGCATTTAACCGATCTTCTATCCTTAGCAGATATTAAAATATCGAATAAATACCGACTAAGAAAATAATATTAAACTAGATATAACAAATATTTCACCAAAGCGACTACGTGATTGTCGAAATCCACCGGTGAAAGTCGACATTCTCTTGATTGCGGTCATTCATAACTGTTACCGGCAAAGTTTGAAACTCCAGCATTCTATAGAATGCCTAGGCATTGTATATAATGACGAATGTTTTTAGGCAAGGTATGAAATATGAGAAGCATTACATACTTTCTCCAGGCATTGTATATTATACCTAGGCATTCTAGAGAATGACAAATGCTATTTGCCTTGCTAATGCCTAGCCACGTGATATTCAAAACGAATCGTAAATGTATTTTATACTTGAGCGGTTTCTCATTTGGCATTCTATAGTTTTTCGGAGCTCCTGAAATTCAGCGAATAATTAGTGCATATTGAAACAATTTAACTAAATTCTTATGTAAAATAATGCAAAATCATGTTTTAAATGGATAACAAATGCGTTTAGACTATTATTAGAAGCTTAAAGGCGAATAATTGTGCAATTTCAAGGTAGTGACAGTATGGTGGCCAAGATGGCGGTTTGCTGCAATTAAATGTACTAGTGAAATGTCATTTCTTCATGACACATTGAATTGATTAACTTATCATAGCCTATTAAATATCAATCCTCTTTACTGATTTATATTAAAAAAATATTAACATATCTGAGGTCCTTCCATGGAACGATTGTGTGCTAGTACTACCTGAATTTTTAATGATTAGATCAATATATATTTAGGGTGTTTCATTCATTTTTTGTGCAATGTGCAATTGTTTTAATAGCAATTTTTTTTAAAAAAATTTAAAACAAAATTTATTTAATAAAATTTATTCTGTTCATGAATTTTTAAGAGGATTCAGTGAAGTAATTTTAAAAGTAATTGCTTAATTTAAAAATAATTGCTTAGTTAAATAATTGTTATAAATTATTAATTGATAATAATTGCGTGTTTAAAATGCTTTAAAATATTTAATCAGAATAAAGGCAATAAAAAAAATACCTTTCAGGTCGAAATTCGGTGGGATTTTCCCAGTAATCGGGATCTCTGTGTAAATGATATACTGCAACCTGTATAGCAGCTCCTTTTTTAAATTGAATACCATTTATTTCACAATTTTCAGAAACTTCTCTATTTACAAACCTATAAATTAAATAGTTATGTTTGTATTAACAAGCAATTAATTAAATTTACAAAAGTGACACTTAAACTATTCTTTTCAGGTAAATACATCACAAATTTTAAGAAATCTCACAATAACAACAATATGATAGACCGGAATGGAAATCTTGTTACTTTTTCTAAAACCGCTCTCTTTAAAATATGGCTTATATATTCGCTTCAATTTTACATTTTAAACTGTATGTAACTTTGTCATTATTTGATATGTAACAAAACAGGCATATTTTTCCCTTTAACTCATTTTAGATCAACCATATAAATTTATAAAATGTGGTATTATTTTCATTGAAATATGCTTACATTACATTCATCAAGACACACAAAAAATTTGTGTATAAAAAATTATATTTTATTTAAGAAATAAAATGGGGCGTATAGGTACCATTCATCAAATCAATGATCATTTAGTTGAATGCTTGTTTTTTTTGCGAATTTTTTTTATTAACTGATTTGTAACTTTAATTCATCATAAAAATATAATGATAAATCTCAAAAGGAATAATTACACATTTTCAAAAAATTTCCTTTGTCAATAACCATTTTAAGTTAAAAAAACTTTTATAGATTTAAAAATTCTCTACAGAAAGTGCTTACTCCAATTGAATGACTCTTAATTTTTGGGTGTCTCAAGAACTCTTAACTTTAGCAGAAAAATAAAAATAGTGAACATGTTAATAAAAAAATATTTATTAAATGGTTCGTTTGTGCACCTCTGGACGAAATTTTTTTAAATGCTCTCGTGATTGTTTTTAATATCTGATAGATTTTCAAAAGACTCTAATTTAAACTAAGAGAAACTAAACAAACAGCCATAGTTTTATTTTTTTGTCGAAAAGTTGGTGATGAAATAAAGGATTGATAAGGAAATACTTACAAATGGACAGGTGGGTAGAGTCGAAGTGATTCTTTAAGAACTTGATCCAAGTATTGTAACATGTTAACTGAGTTATAGTCTAATTCTCCCTACAAAACAATACAAATTTCTTTTCATCAAATAAATCTATGGAACCAAATAATTCGAAAAAGTTTTTCAAATACTTAAAATTTAAGCTCATTTGTTCTGTATTTCAAAATATTTGGCTTTTAATAACATGACAAACAGGATTCGTTAAAATTGAATCGAACTGCAATATGCTTAAAAATTAATCAGACTGCTATACTTATTTTTTAAATAATCACTACTGGACACAAACTAGCAATTTTTAAACATTTGTAGTACCTTAAATATTAGAAAAAATAATTTTAAAAAAGAGCCACTGTTTTTCCCATAAGTTTGGTTTTTCAAAACAAGGTCGCTTGTTTCATTTAGGATTTGAATCCCTTTAAAAAATTTTCCATTTTTAAAAAAATTGCATTTCTCTTAAAGTTAATGAAATATTTATATTTCAAGATAATTTATTTACTTAAATTGTATTAACTACGTTAATGTCTAGTGATAAAACATAATTTTATTTTACAAATTTATAGTTATTTTTTTAACTAGTCATTTTTGCCAGTATACTTACTAATTCTATCTGGATAAAATACTAGTTAATAAATGTTTTGAATTCAGAAGTTGAATCAAAACAAAACAGGGCATAACTAATAATAATAATTGCAGAAGGAATAACCCTACCGATGTTAGGGAAGAAATAAAATCTTTCAATTTAATAAATATCGTCATGAAACAAATTATTTATATTAATTTTTTTTAAAGTTAAAGCTTTTGTGAGAGAAACTCATTACCATACAATCATAGATACTTAAGGGAGAAATAAAGAGGTATAATAAACTATGAATGTTCATAATTCAATCTAAACTATCACTAATCTAGCCAAATGCTTGAATTAAAATAAAGATAGAAGTGAAAAATGTCTTAGTGTTCCTAGCAATTTCGACTTTTTTTTAGTGATAATGGTTTTGTTTATTCGACATTTTTCCACTTTAGTTATTTTTCGTCCTTTAAAGTTTATCTTCATTAATGTAATATAAAGGCGTAATATTAAAATTTCGTTTGGGAAATACTGTTTTGAGCACGGCTCAAAAATTAAATTACTCGCCTGTGACATGCTTTTTTTACCCTTATATACCCGTAAGTAAATATGCAAAGATATTGCAAAATACTGATTAATCTCCCCTCAAATTTTGAAGAAATCTTTGGAAAGAAACCGAAGGAAATTTGCCCAGAAGGAAATTAAAAAATAAAATCGATTACATTTCATAAGACTTAAATATTATCGAATTTAATTTTCTAAATAAGAATTTATTAAACAAAGTTTTAAATTCTTTTTTCAAGTAATGCTTATATTTATCAAAAAAAAGTTTATAGTTACATTATTCAAACTCGCACATTTAGGGCTTAGTGTTAAAGTATTTGACATTTTTTTGAATAATTTGATTCTTACACTCATAAATATCAATTGTCATAATTATGTAATAATCAGAGTAAATAATTGTCTTCTTTTTTATACTAAATGTAGACTTTTCAAATGCTTTTCTTCTTGATTTAGAATTGCATGACTCATTTACTCTCTAATGTCCATGAAAATGTTATCTTCTTTTAAAATTAAATTTTCTTATATCTCTTGTTATCCTTAAAAATGGATTATGTATCAATAATAAAATTTCCTTCTTTTAGAAACTATGGAAGTTCATCATATAATATGCGCCAACTGCATCTATCTTTCTTTTTAGATCATACACTGAAGAGCCAAAAAAACTGGTATACCTGCCTAATATCGTGTAGGGCCCCTGCGAGCACGCAGAAGTGTCGCAACACGACGTGGCATGGATTCGATCAATGTGTGAAGTAGTGCTGGAGATAATTGACACCATGAATCCTGCAGCGCTGTCCATAAACCAGTGGGAGTAAGAGGGGATGGGGATATCTTCTGAACATCACGTTGCAAGGCATCCCAAATATGTTCAATAATGTTCATGTCTGGGGATTTTGGTGGCCAGCGGAAGTGTCTAAATTCAGAAGAGTGCTCTTGGATCCACTCTGTAGCGATTCTGGACGTGTGGGGTGTCGCATTGTCCTGCTGAAATTGCCCAAGTCCGTCGGAATGCACAATGGACATGAATGGGTGCAGATGATCAGACAAGATTCTTACGTATCCGTCACCTGTCAGATTCCTATCTAGACGTATCAGGGGTCCCATATCACTCCAACTGCACACACCCCATACCATCACAGAGCTTCCATCAGCTTGAACAGTCCTTTGTTGACATGTAGGGTCCATGGATTCATGAGGTTGTCTCCATACCCGTACACGTCCATCAGCTCGATACAACTGGAAACGAGACTCGTCAGACCAGGCAACGTTTTTCCAATCGTCAACAGTCCAGTGTCGGTGTTTACGGGCCCAGGCAAGGCGTAAAGCTTTGTGTCGTGAAGTCAACAAGGGTACACATGTGGGCCTTCGGCTCCGAAAGCCCGTATCGATGATGTTTCGTTGAATGGTTCGCAGACTGACGCTTGTTGATGGCCCAGCATTGAAATCTGCTGCTATTTGTGGAAGGGTTGCACGTCTGTCATGTTTAATGTAATCGTCGTTGATCCCGTTCTTGCATGATCTTTTTCCGACAGCAGCGATGTCGTAGATTTGATGTTTTACCGGATTTCCGATACTCACGGTATACTCGTGAAATGGAAGTACGTGAAAATCCAAGTGTCATTGCTATCTCACAGATGCTACGTCCCATCTCCCGTGCGCCGATTATAACACCACGTTCAAGCTCACTTAAATCTGTATAACCTTGCATTGTAGCAGCAGTAACCTATCTAAGAACTGTGCTAGACACTCGTTGCCTTATATACGCGTTACCGATCGCAGAACTGTACTTTGATAGGCTCCATACCCCTTTATTTGCATACTCATGCCTGTGCCAGTTTTTTTGGCTCTTCAGTGTACTTTAGCTTGTATATTATGCCACTTACTTTCTATTTTTAATGCATTTTAAATATGACATTGGAAATCCTCTTTAAAAAGGGTTCATTAATTTTTTCAGAAAAATATATTCCTTTTTATTTCAATGAAGCAATTATGCGCTTTTGATAGGATATTAAAAGTTTGCGAAATGCTCTCTGGAGGGTAAATTTAGCAATTTATTCAATTTGGTTTCAGTGTCAAATAATTGTGTTTACATAATGACTACAGTTTCTGTAAATGTACTTTCATTTAAGTACTTTCTTTTAAGTACATTTTTAGTAGTTTTTTTAACGAATTTCGCAGTAAGAAATAGTTTTGTTTTAAAAGTATACTTATTGGATTTTGTAAATATGTTTTGAAATGCAGCCATTTTTTTCGAGTGAGTGCTCTAAACGTAATAATATAATGGCTGTATTACCTTCATTAAGAAAAAAATTTCACTAAAATAATTCGGATGTGATGAATATTTTCTTAATTATCATATTTTCTGATTCCTTATTTAATTCATAATAAAATTTTAATAAAAAATAGAGCGTTTTGAAACTTTATTTTGTTTTTGAAGTTTTTTTTATATAAATTTATTATTTTAAAATAAAAATGCCATGGGAATCAAGAGGTGACCAGTTTATAACGGCTTTTTTAAAAAAAATATTGAAAATTTTAAAAATAAAATCTAATTCCCTCCCTTCCCCCAATTTTTTTTTCTGTTACGATATGTCTCTGACTGTCAGCAAGAAGACTTGCTTGGAAATCACTTCATAGGAAAGGTCCACTTTGCACGACTGCCCTACCAGCGAAATAATTTGGGCCCACATTGGACCAATGTTTTAATGTAAACAGGGCCAATCTTTTTCAGATATTGGCCCTATACAGAATGTTTAGATTAACCTAATATTTTATATCCATTATTCAGCCAATATCGGCCCAATATAGTATTGTCCGTCCATTTCACCCTATATTTTACAGCCACTTTTCAACCAATAACCGCCTTATATAGAATTGTTATTGTCCAATATAAAAAAACATTCTAAGACCAATAATTAAAAATCTAGACATCAAAATATTGCCCCCCCGGCACATGTTCTTATAGCCCAACTGGGGCTAAAGTAAAATTGTTGCTAGGATGATTTGTGTGCAAAATAACTTTTTAGTTGGAAAAAAGCTTAGTAGATCTGATACTTACCTCTGATTTCAAAAGTTGGAGGACTTCTTTTCTGACTTTTTCTTGAACATCTGGGTGTTTAATCAAAAGATGAGTTGTGAAAGCTAAGGCTGTGCTTGTTGTTTCGTATCTAATTTTTTAAAAAAAGTATTTAGTTAAAATATTCCTTACTAATAGTTATAATTATTGTATTACTTATAGTTAGATCATAAAAGTGCTGAATATCAACAACTAAATATTCATTTTGGTGAATGTGAGAAATACTTACTACAGCTTATTCGATATTTTAATACTTTTTTTGATATTTAAAATATGAATAAACTAATATCAGAATAGATTAAAATTTTTAAAAAATGGTCGAAAATAATGGTCAAAGGCTCATTATTACTGCCGGTTTAATAACTTGATTTATTCAGTCATTATTAATTACCAGGTGTTTTGGTAAATGTTCACATTAAGGGCCCTCTTCCGGTAAATAATGAGCAAATGACAAGGCATTGTTAATAACATTGTCAAAAATAGATTGTTTTCTATAGATTGTCAATAATATATTGTTTTGTATAGATTGTCAATAATAGATTGTTTTCTATAGATTGTCAATAATAGATTGTTTTCTATAGATTGTCAATAATAGATTGTTTTGTATAGATTGTTAATAATAGATTGTTTTCTATAGATTGTCAATAATAGATTGTTTCTATAGATTGTCAATAATAGATTGTTTTGTATAGATTGTCAATAATAGATTGTTTTCTATAGATTGTCAATAATAGATTGTTTTCTATAGATTGTCAATAATAAATTGTCTTTTTACAGTCATACAGAGCAACAGAGTTATGGTATTAGGAGAGGGAGATAAATTTTAGAAGAATATATTTATAAAATTAAATTGATAAAAAAATCCATTGTTTTACAAATGCTTACAATCGCAATTATTAATTAGTACAATAATTGTTTCTTCTAGGAATATGGTGATACCCGCAAGAATTGGAAAAAAAAACCCAGTTTAAAACTTTTGACCGATTAGGGCTTAATCTTCTATGTTGCAAATAGATCCATATCTTCGTACACATTAAAAAATCTTTGCTTATTTTCGAAAAATACGTTTTTTTTCATCTGATTCTGTGCTTTAAATTATAACCATATTTTAGGTGTATCTTTTATTCTATTGGCAGTGCGTTAAAATCCTAAGATTAGGGCAACAGCTATTTAGAGCGTAATGATTTCTAATCAGAACCTCTTGAAGACTAATAGACTTCCCTCCAAGAATATGCGTATAAAGAGTACGTATTAATGGGATATGTACCAAGCCATGATCACATCATGGGTGTCATACCATAGGCCAGGAAGGGAAAGTCTCAGGTATCATGGTCCTCAATAATTAGAAAGATAAACTGAATAAAAAATCAATTCTTACGCTGCAAGAAAAAACAACACAGAATTATCCAAAACATCCGCATCACTTAGTTTCTTAGATATCTTCCCTGAAAGAAAACATAGACCAATTATACAGGGTATTATTAATATTTTTTAGATAATCTATAGATGGGATAGGTTTCAATGTAATAACACTGGATCTGACATTCAACGAACCAATTAATTGACTACAACGTGACTGAGTGCTTCTAATAGGGGTTAAAGGGGGTACTAACTTTAATGAACGCTAATTTTGTTTTAAGAAGGATTATTGTCAGTTTCAAATTATGTCATAAAACCTGATTTTTTGCTTGGTGCATAGAGTATATTATAAACGTAAAGTCGGTAGTGAGTCTCCATCATTTTGATGATGGTACACTAACCGACTTTACCTCACAGAAAAGCTGATGCCCTTAGATTCAAAAGAATAGCATTTGTAGGGATCATTGATTTATTTATTTTCTTGATCATATATCATAGAGTGGAGTTTATCGACTATTATCTTTTCAAGATGAATCTTTCAATATTTAATTATAATTATTTGGCTTTTAATAGCATAAACGATTAAACAAATAAAAGTTTACTCTCATCTTTAAAATTAATCTGGTTTCAAATTCTAAATATTATTTTGAAAAAAAAATTCTTCTTATTTTTTTTTTGACTTCTCATCTTAATTCTGTCAAAACTGTTATTAAATTTGCATCTATACTTAAAATTGAAACTCCGATGTATGTCTAAGAACTGGTAAGGTTTTAAAATAATATGTGTGTTACCTTTGTTTCCCTTGACTTCGACTTCTTTTTCATCACTTGCAGTTAAATCATCTGCTGTAACAGAGTCTCCGTCAGTACCCTCAGCATCCAACATAAGCTGAAGAAGATCAGGTCTGGCTTTCTATAAATACTTATATAAATTAATATCGAATAAATTTTATTTATATAAATATAAATATAATTAAATTATATTTATTTATATTATATTTATATAAATATAATATATTATAGTTATATAAATATAAATATAATATAAATATATTTAATAATCGAATAAATATTTTCATATAAATGTATGATGTATTTTTAAAAACAACATCATTTCGTATATTATTTAAATTAAGAATAAAAACAAAGTACAATTAATAATATCATAATTAGATAAAAAGTTATTTTCTAATAATTGTCTTTAGGTAAAACTATTATAATCACATAAAGCTCATAGAATTTTTTTAAAATAATAAAGCAAAAAGTGTTTTTTCATATTTAGCTAACTATTAAAAAAAAATAAGAATTTGCATTCTTAAACTACGCGGTGGTCGAATGTACAAAACTTTTAAGTTATTAGAAACCTTTAATAATTCTTGAGCAATATTTGAATTTTAGTCCCGTTTAAATGGAATAGTAGTTTTTAGGTTGTTAATGTAAAAATTGAGAGACAGAGTGTTTCGTAGTGAATAGCTTTAATATATTTTTATACCTCTCGTCAAATGTCTCGTAAATATAGTATAGAAGTCACAAATTAATATTTGAACAAGTAAAAAACAATTTTTATTGTTGTTGCTGACGTAGGCCATAAAGGCAAGGGATGAGATTGTTCTTGTTTTCCAGTGGTGCCATCTATGGCCAAGAATTCGACCGCACCCATACGTCATACCCGTTTATAGGTCGGATTCATCCGCAGATCATAATTTTGACCTGAACCAGAGAACGATGAAACTCCAATTTAGTACACTTAGAGGTATGGGAAGATGGAGGATTTTATGTCTCGACAGATTTAACATGCACCTTCGGATGGTTGGATTCCCGTTCTGCCAACCAGGCTGCAATCTATACTAGTTAAAGGCCTATATAAATTAATGGCCCTTAATATGTGTTGAACCTAAGATCATTGTAATTATTTACACCAGAGGTCGCCAAAGTGGTTTATATAGACCCCCAGGGGTCTTTTCAACATAAGCGGGGGTCGATCTAAGCCAGGGGGTCGATCCGCACCGGAAGGGTCGATTGGTCGAAGGATTATCAGTATTTTTCAGATATGTGACAATTAAAAATAAAAGAAGATTTGGAAATATATACAGGTAATCTTCAAAAATTGAGGGACAATTTTAAACTGCGTTTTGTTGATTTGGAAAACATTGACATCCCTGAGTGGATTATTGTGCCATTTTCTGCTCAAATTGAAAACGTGGACATCAACCTGCAAGATGAGCTTGCTGAATTATTATGGGGATTTGAAGCAAAGACGCTTTTTAAAAATTTAACAATAAGCAAATTTTGGACAAATATAAATATAATGCAAAAATATGTAAGACTTTACGAAATAGCTCAGCCATTTATGATAGCATTTCCAAGTTCCTATATGGTTGAAGCCGGTTTCAGTCACGTAAATTCAATCTTAACTAAGAACAGAAATAAATTAAATGTGGAGTTTCGAGGGGATTTAAGATTAAAATTGACCAATTTTGAACCCAATATAACGAACCTTGCAGAAAAAAAAACACCAGGCACACCCATGTCATTGATTAAGAAGCAATAAATCCGTAGTTACTTTACTTATTATTTCTACTTACTTATAATTACTTATTATTTCATAAATATTAAGGTATTTATATTTCAACATTAATATATTTTTCATAAAACTATTGTTACACTATGTACTATTACTTTAATAAATGTTCAAAATCATAAAATAAATGTACAAACACAGTTTCAAATAGAGTTTTATTTTAACTTACAGAAAACTAATTTTACGGGGGTCGATGGAAATTTCGAAAAATTAAGTAGGGGTCGATGATCAAAAAAGTTTGGAATCAAAATTTACACCATTCAGTGAAGGAATATTGCATTCAATACCTGTAATCTGCTGCATAGGGGAGATTTTTAGAAAACATTCTAAATTTTCAGTGGCACACTAATTTTTGAAATCAATTCAATTAAAATCCATGACTTCGCCTTGTAATAATTATGCTTAGTGTTTAAAGGGGAAAATATATAAAAAAATGTCTAATTTGCTTTAAACATTGAAAAGCCTAACCATTTTTTGCTATGTACAGTGCGCAAAATAAAAAACGGACCACCCTGAAAAACTTTTAATCTGATGCTCGGATCTGCACGTTTCAGGACTCCATCTTAATGGTTCGAGGAGGTGTCCCTAAATATGCTAATTAATTCCAGACTATATTTTAAGTTACGAAATCAGGCACAAAAACGTGCTTTCTCTGAATAAATATTCTATTTCAATGGATTCGGATTTTTGACAACCAAAATTTATCCATTTCTAAGACATACATTTGGAGGTGTAACATTTAACATGTAGCATAATGTTAAATTTTTATGTTATGGTTTGACTGGGCACTTGACAGATGGTTAAAGATTTTACTTCTGAACTGCTGAAATAAAATGAAAAGTTTTTAAGGTTATTTTAATTCAAATATTTAAAACAATATTGAAATGTAGACTGTAGACTTGGTTTTTGGTTACTTATTTTTCTTAAAAGTATAATGATGCTCTGTGTTAATGTTGAATTACAGTCGAATCTCGGTTTAACGAGCCCCTATTTACCGAATTTTGCGATTGTACGAATTTTATGAAGTTAATGAAGCAGGAAACAATGAATAGCGACTCTGACACAAAAGTCAATAGTAAGGAGTCGCCAATGAGAACAGTTACTTTTTCTGATGCTTTGCATGGTTTGGAAACAGTGAAAACTTACCTAATGCAGTAAATGAAGGAGTATTTTCTTTTCTTCGTCGAAAAAGAACTTTTTAAAGTAAGAAAATCGAGGAAATAAGCAAACCTTACACACGAAATGCTTTAAAATTTCAGATTAATAAGCGCGTAATCATTCGCTGTATTTTAAGTTCCTGAATAAAACGTGTATTTGCTTAGTGAAGATGTTCGAATATTCCATCAGGTTAGTCAATTTTTTCTTTTATTTTGCCCCCGATATTACGAATTATCCTCGATTTAGCGAATAATATTTTGGTCCCTATGAATTCGTTAAATTGGAGTTCGACTGTATCCCAATAATTCGTGCATAATTTTTGCTTCATTGTAGAATTGTTTTCAATTTGCTTCATATTGTTGATAACAGCTGCTTAAAATAGCATCCACTTACGATGCAAAATAATATCTATTGCAAAATACAGTTCCTTCAAAAAAAAAAAAAGGGTATAATTGGTACCTGTTGATTTTTTCTTCTTGTGGCAATTACTTCTTTCACATTTCCAATAAGTTCAGTTATAGGATTCGTTCCTTGATTTACAAAAATTAATCTCAATCTTCCCAATCTAATCCAAAGTGATGATAAACTACGGAAACTGACTGAAAATAAAAGAAAATATTTGTTGTTTAATATGTGTCGTATCATGAAAACTATTTTATGAATGAATCGCTATTTAACACTGTTAAAAATTTCTCAGAGAAAATGACTAAATAACAATCTATTTAATTGTTATTTTAACATATTTAACTTACCATACAGTCAAGTAACTATAAATAAGATGGTAATGAAACCATTAACAGTGAGAAAAATCGTTTATTAACTATTTAACTAAAACGGTTAAATAACAAGAGTTTTATTGCATCAACTAAGCTCACTTAATGAAGCAACTGAGATAGAAATCTGTCAATCTCATGAACAACAGAACGGGGATTCGAGTCCCAGCGTTGACCCTTTAACACACATAAAGAATTTCCGGAGTCCTGCACTCTCCAATGCCCATTATCTAACGAGCTCCCATGTCCACTTAAATTTCTTTTCTTAAGGTTTTCAAACCATGGTAGCTGTAAATGGTTAAAAAAACTTATAGTTTTGTATTCATGATTTTATAACCATACTAGCTGTAAACGGTTTCAAAACCGTAAAGGTGAAACTTTACGGTTAATCGGGTGGACAGCCGGTTATTTTACCTTAATTTTAGAATGAAAATCCCAACAGTGTAACATTTAAAATCTAATTCAAGAAGCATTTTTTGGTATGAAGCATTTTAAGTGATTTTTAATAATCTCATGATTTGTAATAAAAAGATGGCAGTAATAGAATTCAATAGTAATAAAATTTCTTAATCTATGAAAAAAAAGAAAACTACAATAACAGAAATATCGGCTCATCAACTTGACAACAAAATTTTCTATTTTTTAATCAGCTAAACGTTTGAAAATAAATTGAAAAGTTTCAAAAGTGCTTAAATTTTTCTTGTTTTTAATACACTGTAAAAATAATCAATCAAATTTCACGAAATTTACTTCATTTTTGACGAAACTGTTTATTAGGAAATCCTTAAAATTTTGACAAATTGAAGAATTTTTTATCTTTACTTAATTGATAGAAAAAGGTTTTCGCAAAAAGCATTAAGCTTAATGCGAAAACTAATTAATAGAATTGATTAAGAAATACAACAAAGAGTAAAAATAATTACGAATTTTCTATTATTATCCGCATTCGATCCTGGGAAGCATAAGTTTGACTAAAGTAAGAACTTCCCTAGCCATTCGTCTGCACCCGTGGCGGTGACTATGGTAACGAGGTATAACTATTTTAAGTAGGGGTGTGGGATCATTGTTTAGGACATGGGGTTGGTGACAGAATCTTTTTCTTCGGTCTATTAGTTAGCCTTAGAGTGAAGAGAAGCTACCCTCCCTGAAATGTGCTATTCTTGTTTCCATAGCAGCCTCAGACTTTGTGTCGGGGGTAGTTCATACCGTTAACAAATTATACTTGACTAGTGCCTGTAGCATTTCTCCATACCGGTTGACAAATCACCAACCGGTTGACATAGCAGTTCCTTGAGAACTTCCAGACGACAATGACATGAAGTATGAGTGAGGAAGCAGCTACGTCAGAAATTAGGCGGTTCTGCGAAGAAATAATGACCAAAATTAGCAAGTTTGTCACAACAAAAATTTCCGCCATGATTTCCTCAAAATATTCAAGTACTTTTTCTAAAATCGTGAATTTTTCAAAATAATACACGATTTACCCGATAATTGTTTAAAACGTGAGATTTTTAAATTTTTCTCATACATTTTAGCAGAAATTGAAACTTCGAAATTGACAATGCATAACTGATGTAACATTTCAGAGAATTGATGAATAACAAAATTAGTTAAAAAAAAGTGTTGTGCCAAGCACGAGACTTAATAATGATTAATACCATGATTCCAAGTAAAGCAAAAAGAAAACTTAGTTAGGCCCGGAAAATTTACTGGCAACCCAGGCTATTGCTGAGGACATCTAAAAACCATTTGAGTTGAAAATCACATATCAATATTAGCAAACAAGTTATTGATGAACAACGATTTAATTAACGAGAATAATTTAAAAATGGAAAATTTTTTACCAAAATTCTCTTTGTTTGAATAAAAATATTTTTCATTATCTCTTTCATATGCTTTTATTTTATTATCTGTAGTGTATTAAAAGTTAACTGTACATTAGATAAACTGTGTTGTATATTACATGTAACAAAATTTGCACTTCTAGATCCAGCCTTTTTGAGAAGGTACCTGGCCAAATTATTAGACGTAAAATCTTAATTATCAGATGATACTAAACAGCTTTATAATTTCTACGCGGCTGAAACCGGTTTGCAATCGCTTACGTCCGTGTATTAATTGTTTAACATTGTAATACGATACGTTAAAAACAAATACAAATCGGAAGTATATAAAAAATCTCTCCAATAAAAACCCATTACATGCATGTTTAAATAAAAAAGTATCGCGTATAAACTCATGCAAAACATACAATTATTAAAACACTAAAGTGCGTTTAATAATTCCGTCTAATTATTATAATATACTAATATAATACTTGATATAATAATTATTCTAAATTTATATAGTATATCGTCGAATTTGCCCAATCGTCGAATTCATATTATATATCGTCCAATTTAACCAATTGATACACGAACGCAAGCAAATTCAAACCGGTTTCAGTCGCGTAGAAATAATAAAGCTGTATAGTATCACCTGATAATTAAGATTTTACATAAAATATTATAGTGCGTCCAGGGACTTTCTGTAAAAATGAAACATAATACATACCTGCTAGAATAATGAGAGGATTTCTAATATCTCCAGAAAAAAGTGCTTTAGCTGCTCTTAAGAACGGATCTTTCGGATTATTCTGTACATCAGTTTGTATTCCAAATGCTGTTCTACCAACAACATCCATTGTCAAACCTTGATATAATTTATAAATATCAAAATGTTCATCCGCTTTGCATTTCTTATCAATATTAATCATCAAGGACTGAATTGCATCATTCATTAGTGGAGACATCTTATGAAAAAAAAAATCGATTATTTTACATAATAAATATCATTTTTTTAAAATTGAACATCATTTGAGAGAGCAAATAATATCACTTATAAAAGAAGTGCACTGTTAAAAATTTCGAACCATGTTGCACCAGATATTCGTATTAATTTGCGGGCTACATAGAATGGAGATTAATTTTACCATATTTTGGTATTTTCACTAGTTCCAAATATCAGAAGAAAGTTACACTAAAAGTAGGAAACAAAACACCTATTTTTATTATTTCTTTCTTTTCTTTCATAAAAACAGTGGAAGGTTGCACCATTATTAGGTACTATTTTAAAAGTGCTCAAATGCAGGTCAAGGTTGCTATTTACCGTAACAAAACTATTTAACTTAAGTAGGTTATTTTATGATATAAATCTCTAACCATTTTATACCACCAACCAAATTTAAAGAGGCAACGTAAAAGAAATGAACTTTGATTAAGACAGATAAGACATTTACCTACTTAAATAAGTTGATACTTGAAACAACATGCATGCGTCGTCCCGATACATCGAGACCGAGATGTAAAGAAAACATGGCGTCGTAAACAAATATCGTTCAATTTGCAGTCACCGTCAAAGTTTTGTGTCTTTTACTAAATTTTGGTGCAGTTAGTTGAGAAAAGTATGAAAGTATTTCTCGATCATACTTCACAATTTATGGTGTAACCAAAATAAAATGATCCTTCATTTAACTAAACTATGGGATATTGAGAAACGTTGCACCAAATACAGGTTGAAGATTTATCTAGTTTTTTTAACAGTATTTTTCGTATAAAATTACGCAATTAAAATTAATTTTGAGAGGAAATTTTTGAATATAAATTATTCATTTAGCTTAAGCTTTTTTAAAATTTAAAATTCTTTGTTTATAAACTATTGCAAAGTACGGAGAGTAGGAAAAAATGTATGAATAACTTTTGTTAAAAAATAATGATTTTCACTAACTAAGAATCAATCTAATAATGATTTGAGGGTCTCTATGTGCTATTTAATTAGTGCAGACGATATTTTGAAATGATACACTAAAACGTACTTTCTCTCAATAAACATACCTTTTTTTCTAAGAATTTTGATTCTAGACCCCAAAGTATAGGAAGTGCCGCAATCTGGAAAATATGGACCCTGCAGTTTTGTCAGGTAAGCAATCGAAAGTTTGGTATACTGAATTTCATTTTTTGCTTATTTTGCTTTATCTCGAGAACTTAATCGATAAAAGTTTTGTCTAAAAGTCCGTTTATCCCAAGATAATTATATGTAATTAATATTTTTTTAAATAAATGACAGAAAAGTGATCTGAAGTTCGTTGTTGCTGCTATGGATGTCCATAAAAAGTATATTACTTTAACTAAAAATAGATGAAAGTAAGTATTTTAAACTTATCCATCCTTAAACTAATTTTTCAAGCATATAAGTATTTTACTATGTTTTTATGAAATTTTTCTGTAACAAAATGCTATTTTCTTACACGCGAAATATAGGATTATTCAAATTTTGAAACGTAAGGGAGGGTAGCCTAAAGCGGGTAGGTCGCCTAAAGCGGGAAGGCATTCGTATCCCGCCGCATGGCGCGCAAGCGCCGATAACTAAGTATGCCGTGATTACCCGAATACTCACGAGTTTCAATCAGTCCCAGCGAAGCAGAAGTAAAGCGACATGGCGTAACCAAGCACAAAATAAAAAAATTAATAGGTTTATTAAAAAAACTCAAGGTATGTAACTTGTGACTAGTCGAAATCCGGCTTTTTTTTTATTGTCAATATTATTATATTATTCTAACACCTATAAACTACGACGTTCAATTTTTTAAATTTCTTTTTTTATTTAAGGTTATAATTTTTTTAGTAAAAAATATGCTTTTGGGCAAAGCAGGTAGGGCAAAACGGGTAGATACCCGCTTTGCCCCGATACATATTTACACTAACTTTTCTGTATTTTTGTATAGATGGTAAATAAATACAAGAGAAAAACAGAACAGGCGACCAGGTGTAAAACGGTCATGAAGAATGCAATGAAGGAATCTGAGACCACTTCTGCGGCTTCTAAAAAGTATGGTATCCCGCTTTCCACTCTACGAAGACATCTGAAAAGTTGCAGTAAAAATCTTCGACGATATCGAAGAGTATTCAATAATGAGCAAGAAGCTGAGTTATTGGAATCAAGTCGATTATCTTTTCTACGGCTAAACTAAAAATGAATTTTTGAAACTACTCTATGAGTATGCAGAACGCAATAATATCGTTCATCCCTTTAGGAACGGTAGTGCTGGAAATGATTGGTATTTGGGTTTTAAAAAACGACTAATTTAGTTGTTAGACAACCAGAGCCAACATCAATTGCAAGAGCACGAGGTTTCAATCGATCTCAAGTTAACAGATTTTAATATTTGTTGGAAAGAGAAATTGATGAGGATGACATTGATCCAACAAGAATATACAATATGGATGAAACTGGCATTCATGCATCTAGTAATAAATCTCCGAAATTTTTGTCAAAATCAGGGAAAAAACAGATGGGTGTAATTTCAAGAGCGGAAAGAGGAAAATCGACGACTATTATCTGCTGCTGCAACGCGGTTGGATTTTTATACCTCCATTTTTTATTTATGGTAGAAAAAGAATGGTTGGTAGATTGTTAGAAGGAGCACCCCCTGGTTCCCTTGCTACTTGCACTGACAACGGATGGATTAATGGACCGAAATTCCTAGATTGACTTCATCATTTCGTCGAGAATACCCGTCCAACTCTTGAGAAGAAAGTAATCTTAATATTAGATAACCACGAATCTCACAAATATATTGAGGCCCTTGAATATGCTAGAAAAAATAATGTAATTTTGGTATCGCTGCCTCCTCATACACATGCAACCTCTGGACTGTTGCGTTTATGGACCGTTCAAAACATACTTTGAACAAGAAGTTTTAACTTTTCAACGAAGCCATGTAGTTAGAATAATTACTCAGTACGACGTAGCTTCACTTGTTGGAAAAGCATACTTAAAAGCAGCTAGTGCACAAAATGCTGTTCAAGGATTTAAATCCTCAGGAATATGGCCCACGAGCCGACTCATATTTAGTAATGCTGACTTTTTGCCAGCTAGTCTGACAGACAGGGCTGAAGTTATTGAAAACACCAACGATGGACCATCGCAGATCCAATCTACTGATGCTGGTCGTCTTTCTAACAATTCTGATTGCTCTACTTCTACACCTGTATTTGAAAACGTGGATCACAATTACTCTCAAGCTTCAGGGATTTCGCTACGTCGCACAAACGGAGAAGCTTCGTATGATCCAGCTGTTGAAGATGATCTTTCATGCTATACGACAACTAGTGACAATTCATTTCAACCAGTAGAAGAGCCATTGACACCTCATGTGAAGCCTTTGGATATTAGACCGCTACCAAAACCTACTCCGAACAAAACTAGTCGTAAACGTAAAACTCAAAGAGCTGAAGCCTTAACAAGTTCTCGATTTAAAAATATGCAAATAGAAAAGGAAGAAAAAGAGAAACGTCTTAGAAACAATGCTGCTGTTAAAAAAATGTAAAAAAAAATCTTTCTTCGACAAGTAAGTCAGGTAAAGCTAAAAAATAAAGAGCTTCAAAGAAAAAAATTGTAAAAGAGTATTTTTGCCTTGTTTGTAGGGGGCCTTATGAGGACCCACCGCTAGAAGATTGGATTGAACGTGGAGACTGCAAAGACTGGGCTCATGAAGCTTGCACAACTCATTCAGGATGAGGGTCTTATTTTTGCGAACTATGTCAAGAATAACAAATCATAATTTGAGACTGATAAAATAAGTCTAAAATTGTTATCTAAATGTTATTTTTATCGTTTATTATACGTGTGATTAAGGTCTCATTATTAATGTTTAAGAAAATTAATATGCGCTTGTATTTGTAAAATCTATGGTGCTTATCCACTTTGCCTGAACGGCTTACCCGCTTTAGGCCCCTTGAAGGGCAAAGCTGGTTTTTTCAGTGTTTTTTATTTTTGATAATAAATAATCATAAAATTTAAAATAACGCAATAATCATTTTTTATTTTAAAGTTCAAGATCTCTCTTAAGAAATAAAATCAAAAAAGCTGCGATAAAAGCCCAAAAACTGTAACTTTTGAGAGTTTATTGTTAACCTACCCGCTTTAGGCCACCCTCCCCTATGCAACGCTGATTGTGTTCCAATGAATTTATTATTCAAGCTCTGAAATTCAATAAAAAAAGTTATTGCAGCTTAAATTTTATTTAAATAGAAAAGTATATTGCACAAATAATGAATATTCTGTGATATATAACATCCATAAAATTCAGAAATACCTACTTTTAGCGTTTCCACCCTTTGAGAAGTACCCCATTAAGTAAATTAAAAATACCTTTTTTAACCCGAATTTGATTGAAGAGTTTATGATTTGCTGTTTCAGAATTTATCCAGAAGTATGTGCTTATATTGTATGCGTATAATAATAATAACAATATTAAAATTTGTAATGAACTTAAAAAGTTTTACAGGTACTTTTAAATTGAATACTTTAAAATGTATAAATCATATTAATCAAGCTAAGTATTTAACTTTATTTTTTGAATATTTTTCCTCGGTTCTTTTGGTTGTATTTTTTTAATTTACATAGTTTACATGCACGTAGTTGCATTAAAATTGCTCACTTTTAAATTTAAAAGCATAAAAAAATTCCTTTTCAACTATTTTTCCTTTCGAATTCATTTAATTATTGTTCATTTAAATTATTTTCATGACTCTGAATTATCGTGTTTTTAATTTTGTACGAAACATCAAAACCTGCTTAATGGCCTTATGTAAACTGAATGCGTCTGCAATAATCGACTAAAATCTGCAATCAACTTTTCCAAAAGTATCCATTGAAGTTGGTTCCCTGTGTAAAAATTCGTTTCAAATAGCATTTTGGATTGCTTGCTTGTTACATTCTCGAACAGTTTTCCTTAAGATTACCTGTCGCATTTTAGATGCGGTAAAGGAAGGAGTAAGAAGAGATCGAACATCTTTCCATCTTTTATCTCTCAAAGAAATAATATGTTGACTAAATCCTTCAACTCTTTTCGTAGATCTGCTGCGGCTGCTGAACATGTCCTGAAAGAAAATTTCTTTTATCTATCAACTCTTTTTACAGCAAATAAAGTTTGAATATCAATTATTATTATACAATAATTCGAAAACTTGTAATTTCATTTATTATCAAATTACTAGTAATTTACAATAAATCTTTCGCAGTGATGACTGAAGAAGATTTATTATCAAACACTTGTTATTATACAAATATTTAAATGCAGTTGAACCCCGATTTAACGAATTCACAGGGACCGAAAATATTATTCGCTAAATCGGGGATAATTCATAGTATCTGGGGCAAAATTAAAAAAAAATTGACTAACCTTATGGAATATCCGAACATTTAAGCAAATACACTTTTTATTCAGGAACTTAAAATACAGCGAATGATTACACGCTGATTAATTTGAAATTTTAAAGCATTTCGTGTGAGTAAGGTTTGTCTTATTTCCTTGATTTCTTACTTTAAAAAGTTCTTTTTCGACGTCATGAAGAAAAGAAAATACTCCTTCATTTACTGCATTAGGTAAGTTTTCACTGTTTTCAAACCGTGCAAAGCATCAGGAAGAGCAACAGTTTTCAGTGGAGATTCATTATCATCGACTTCTGTGTCAGGGTCGCTATTTATTGTTTCCTTCTTCATTAACTTCGGTAAAATTAGTTAAATCGCGTAATTCGGTAAATAGGCATTCGTTAAACCGGGGTTCGACTGTATTCACAAATATCCTATGGTCCTAGCCAATGTTTTGGTTATTTACCCTAACAGCAGCTGCAAAAGAGTGAATCTTAAATAAATTGAAGAATATAGTACTAGAAACCACAAAACAATCTTCTTGAAAAGGTTTAAGCAATAAGATATTTGTCCACAAATAACAACCATTTTTGTTTTTTTCACATGAAAAATCGGTAATTAATATTTATGCCAGGAAAAAGCAAAGCGCTATTAAATCTAATGGATTACTTATAAGGATGGAGAGACTGAAAACCTGCTTGATTGAATAGGACAGCGAAAGAAAATTTTCCTTGCAAATTCTCTTTTTCCTTCATTACTAATTTAAAATTTAAGGAGCAGAAAAAGTGAGTTTAAATAAACCTGCCATGAAGTTTCAGATGCTGAAAAGAAAATATGCAAATGAAAATAAATTATGAGAAGATAACTTAGGATTTCTCTTCTAATAATTTGTTTGAATATTTTGCAGTATTTTTTTCAGGAATTGAACTTTTATGACTTACTCTAGGTTTGCCTGCACTTACTTTTCAATTATTTTAAATTAGAGAATTTTCTTCCGTGGTAGAAACCACGTGGTTCCACTTAAATCATTCCTCATTCGACAGAGTTTTTATCTTTTCTTAAATATTAAGGCATATACTTTACATATTTGTCTAAAAACATATATTAAGGGTGGTCATTAAGGAACAACCTATGTCTCTCTTTCTTGTGTTTATAATTTTGATAAGCAACGAAAGACACTTGTTTTTATGCAGAGTAAAATAGTTTAAATATTACAGTATATATACTACTCGTAATAGAGAAACATATTTTAACCAATGTGATTAAATTTCACAAATTAAAATTTAACTCGATATATTTAATCTTTTATATAGTGAAGTGTAAAGTTGGTTAATCGTAACCTTTTTCAGACTTAGATTTTTATCTGTTACAAATCACTGAGAGCTACAATTGAAATATTTAAATAATGCAGCGCAGTTCTTACATTATTATAATTTTTTTTGGTAATATTGTTTGGGCAGAGGTACTAAAAATTATTTGTTTTCGGAAATATCTACTCTCAATGAATTGCAGTCCTAAATCCTATCGTTATAGCTGCACACGTGGTATGATTTAAGCAACTATTTGGTAATATTATTTGGACAGTAAATACTAAAGATTATTTGCTTTCGGAAAGATCTACTCTCAATGAATTGCAGTCCTAAATCCTAGCGTTATAGCTGCACAGGTGGTATGATTTAAGCAGCTATTTGGTAATATTATTTGGACAGTAAATACTAAATATTATTTGTTTTCGGAAAGATATACTCTCAATTAATTGCAGTCTTAAATCATGCTGTTATGACTGCACACGTGGTATGATTTAAGCAACTGCATAACGTTTTAAACAATGTTTTAATCCAAACTTCAAACATTAGTTAGAAGCAGATATAAAATAAAGGCTACTTAACAATTAGATGATGTATTTAATAATCTATATACTTCCTTATTTTAGCCATATTTTTACACCAGACTTTCAAAAAATAAATTTAAAACATGTAAAACCGGTTAACTTAAATTCTTTAAGCAAACGCTCTTAATGCTTCTGCATAAATCTTCACGTGAAAAAAACTTCATAATTTATCCACTGTAGTGTTCTCTACTCTATATCAGAGTTGCCCGTCGATTACAGTAATCGATTGCAACTGTAATTGATTACAGATAATTACAGCTATGAAATCAATTACTTGTAATCACGATTACAAGTAATCAAAATTTTTGATTGCATCAGAGTAGAGCAAAAATGTAATCGATTACATTTGGAAATTACAGTAGTAATCATGATTACAATACTCAATTACATTGATCAATTACTTGTAATCATGATTACAATACTCAATTACAGTAATCAATTGCTTGTAATCATGATTACAAACATTCATAATTTTGATTACAACTGTAATCGTGATTACATAACCAATTACAGTAATCAATTAGAAGTGAAGACAAAGTAATCACGATTACTTGTAATCGTGATTACAAGTAATCATAGTATATGATTACATGTCATTTGATTACAAGTAATTATGATTACATGCAATGAAATACAGGATTACAAGACTATTGTATTCTTTTAAATGATTATATTTTACAGTAGATAGTATAATGCATCTTATAATGATACATTTTGTACGTATTTACATGTACTATTAAATTTTGGACGCATTTGTATACGTGCAAATTAATGTAACTAAAATGTATGTACATATGATTTCATCTAGTGCATATGTATAGACATTTTAGTTACACACATATACATACACTTATATTGTAAGTATAAAATATATGTACCGTAAGTATATAGCTAAAAATTACGTATGTATGTGCAAACAATGTAGACATGTACATTTATACAGAACGAATATATTCATTTTATGCAAATATTTGTGTATGTAGAATGTATATCCATGTTCATGTACGTATGTATATGCAAGTACGTGTTGTTTGTATAAGCATACATACATTGTCTGTACAATGTATGTCCCATGCATGCATGTCCAATTCATTTATGAACAGTATAATATGTGTATACATGTACAATATAGGTGTATTTGTAGTATGTACAATATATGTATGTATACATGTACATGATATGCATGTCCAATGTATGGATGTACATATACACAATAAGCTCATGTTCAATGTATGTATCCAAATATGCATAATACATTTGTGTACGATTGTACGTACATTGGGCGTATTTATATTTTTCATATATTCATACATACATTTGACATGCATATATTGTACAGATGTATATACATATAGTGTGCAGATGTACATTTATATAATGAACATATAATGTTCATATATATCATATATAATGAGCATATAATGTACATGTGTGTGTACTTATACTGTGTATATGTACATAAATATATTGGACATAATATTTTCGTTCAAATTTTACATATGTACATACAAGCTATCCCAATCTATGCATATGTGAGTGTATATATGTCCAATGAATGTATTCACACATGTACAATGCATGTATGCTCCATGCATGCATATCCATATGTACTATATATGCATTTACAATGCGTGAATGTATGTACATGCATTGTACATACATGACGCGTATAATTATGTACATTACATTTATGTCTAAATATGTGCTCAATGCAATAAATTAAATGCATGTAAGTTAACTTATAATGACTCAAACATGTTAAATGACAAAATCAAACGATATTTAAATTTAGTTTTCAGCTTTAATTGTTCCATATCATTTTAAAATTCTTCGAATAAAAAATTATTTCCCGGTGTTTTTATGAAATGTTTGATAATACAGAATTATTTTTATTATAACATAATGCATGGTTCATAGAAATTTTTCAAATGGCAAGAAAAAAAACCAGTAAATTTTATATGTGGAATAAGATTATCGTTTGCCTTCTAAAAAATATGAGGTCGAGTTTTATATGTCTTAGAATAAATTTTAAAACAAACTTTAATAACTTTACTTATATAAATTTTTTTAATGTATGCACAATGTATGTATTTATTGTAATTACATATATTTAAATAAGCCCATGTATTTATACATTACTTGTAATTATGTACATGTATACGTTGTATGTACATACGTACATTTTGCATATAACTATTTTTTGTGCATCCATACAATGCATGCGCATAAGTATTAACAAAGTATGTAGTTATACAACTACATACGTACGTTGTACATTTGTACATACGTTGCGTGTACATACCATATATCTATGTACATATAAATGTACATGCATACATGTATGCATTTTATTTACGCAACTATGCACATATATTGTACCTTTAAACAACATTCTTACATACGTAAATACGTGCAATTTTATATACATACGTGCATTGTATATACGTGCTATTATCGTAAATTTATACAATGTATGTACGTAAGTACACAAAAGTATGCAAACGTGTAAACATTATTTTCATATACGTTCATACCTATATTGTCTATGCGTGCAAAGATGCAAAACATTGCATTTTCGTACAAACTAACATACATGCGGACATGTATCATAAATGCATGATTATATGTATTAAGCATATACGTATTGCATTAAGTATATTAGAATATAATTATGTATATTGTACGTACAAACAACGTTTGTGCATACATTGTATACGTATATATAGGAATCACAAATTGTACGATCATGCGTGCGTACATTCTATGTACATAAAAATATGTAAATCCATACATACTTACATAATAAATTTGCATATAGTATACAATCGTAATAACGTGTAATCGTATAGTTTGATTACAAGTAATCCCAATTATGTAATCATGATTACATGTAATCATATATTTCGATTAATTGTAATCATAATTACTCGTAATCCTTTTTGTTGTGATTGCTTGGAATCATGATTACAGTTGTAATCATAATTTTTGAAAGCTGTAATCACGATTACAAGTAATTGATTACTGTAATCGACTATGTAATCATAATTACAGCAGTAATCAAAGTTGTAATCACGATTGCAAGTAATTGATTACTGTAATTGTTACTTGTAATCACGATTACAGCTGTAATCAAAATTATGTTAAATTGTAATCATGATTACAAATAATTGATTACTGTAATCAAAAAATGTAATCGATTACAGTTTTGGTCAACTCTGCTCTATATATATCTTTAGAGATTAGTGGTGGTTAGATTTGGGAAAGATGCGATTTAAGTAACTTTCTTCTATAATTATCAGATATATTTAAAAAATGTGGAAAATGCGTTCTTTACTTAGAACTATGTTAGTTAACTCATAATAATGAAATATTTTATAACATAAATATTCAGTTAATAAAACGTAATTTACTTTTTTTTAGTTATTTTTAATTTTTACGAAAAATAATGATACATTTTCGTTTGTAGCCTTTTTTGCAGGGTGCATAAAAGCATATTTTAATAGCTTTTCCGCATATTTGTATAGAGTACTTCTTAACATTTTCGTCGTGAAAAAAAATCCACTTGACTCAAATAATAAAATATCTGTCATTTAAATATTAAAACCGTTTAAAATGTTGTTTGAATTAAATTTTTAACCATTTTTTGAAACTTTTCATGGTAACTCAAAACTCCGAGGGTAAAATCTATAATATTTTTACTTAGACAATCACTTCCTAAGGCACAGAAAAAAAATGTTAAAATTAATTGATTAAATTGTACCAAATGTTGCCCAATGTATCAAGATGTTGGATATCAAGGGGTTTAAGAAAATTTTAATGTTTATTTTTTAATTAACATTCACTGACGAAGAATTAGCGTAATTCACACTATTAGATTATGGGTACGGATTACGAGGAACAAATTTCTTTTTAAAAAAATTTTTTTAAGGCATTACTAAATTAATCCTACTTACTACCTGAATTAAAATGCGGCATCGCAATAATTCCTAAATTCAGTTAAAAACATTTGTGTTTAAGCGAAATCTTTTATTTCAAAATACCCGCCCTGTCTTACCTGTCAAAATACCTTAGGTTACTGGACTATGGGTTCTCCTATGCCCTTTAACGAAACAATTAGTAAAGAACTTACATCCAACTGAGCAACAGTCATAACCTTGAAAAGTTAACTTAAACTTTTAACTTTCAAGTTAAAAGTTAAAGTCTAACGTTAAAAATTAACTTTTTAACTTTCAAATTTATATTTTAAAGTAAAACAAAAATAAACTTTTCACTAAAAGCATTTTACTTACACTGTTAAAAATTCAGAGTCACGTTGCATCAAAAATTAGTATTCATTTGCTGGCTACATAAAATGGAGCTCAATTTTAAAATATTTTGGCATTTTTACTAGCTCCAAATATCAGTAGAAGATTGTACCAAAAGTAGGTGTTTTGAAGAAACAAAACACCTATTTTCATTATTTCCTTTTTCTTTCCTTTTATAAAAGTAGACGAAGGTTGCACCATCATAAGGTATTTTTAAAGCTCTCAAATGCAGACCAAGGTACAGTCATTTACCGTAACAAAACTGTTATTTTATGACATACTTCTAACCATTTAATACCACCAACCAAATTTGAAAAGGATACATATAATAAATGAACTTTAATTAATGCAAATAAGCCATTTACCTAACTAAATAAGTAAGAACTTGAAACAACATGCATTAGTCGTCCCAATACACCGAGACCGAGTTGTAAAGAATACATGGCGTCGTAAACAAATATCGTTTAGTTTAAAGTCACCGCCAAAGTTTTGTGTGTATTACCAAATTTTGGTGCTGTTAGTCGCACCGTGGAAATATTTCTCGATCATACATCACAATTTATGGTGTAACTGAAATAAAATGATCTTTCGTTTAACTTAACTATGCGATAATAAGAAATTTTACACCAAATACTGTTTAAAGATTTACAGAGTTTTATTTTACAGTGTATTTCAAATACAACTTACCGGCCTATTTATAAAACTATTGAAATCTGAAACTTGGATCTTCTTCAAGAGATCGGCATCTGCAATCAGTATAACTGGCTTTGTCCCATAGAAATATCTGAAAAGTTGTCATTCTATAGGTACGATTCATTTTTTCGGAAAATAAAAACAATGAACTATATTGCATACACTGGTAATAAATTTTAGTGTTTTTTAACATCAAGAATGAGGGCAACCACTTTACGATAAAATGGTGGCAAATGTTTGCGTGTAATAAAACAATAAGGATAGATCTTAGTGTAGGAAACACTAGGAATGTTCCATAACACTTTTTCGGTTTCGTTTACAGTAAATTTACGATAATATGTGTACAATAGTGAGAGAAGCACTTAAATTTTTTTTAAAAACAAAATGGAATCGAACACATCAAGTAATAAAAATAACGTAAAAAACAGAAAACAAAATATTTAGAGAAAACAGAACAAAACATAAAACGATATCTATAAAGCGAGTAGCGAATTGAAATGAACTTTCAAGAACCAGAAAATTTTCAAAAATGATTAAAATATTTTCGTAATAAGATTGCCAGATCACAAAATAAGAAAACGGAATCGCAAATTAAAAGCGTAAAAGCGTAAATAGAGGGATTTTGTTTTAAAGTGCGTTCTTACTGCAGTACTGAAGCGCGTTTGATTTGTTAGTTACCAAGGATGGGCCCGAAATATATATATTCTTATGTCACATTTGCATCATGAACTTTCAGATAATTTCGAAAACAAAAAAATTGTAATTCCCAAAGCAAAGTTTAAATTAAGTATTGAAATAAAATAGAATAAACGGAAAAAATTAGTTTGATGTCGCAATCTTTCTTCACTTTATTTTCATAATTTTTAATAAAATGTAACTTTTAGAAGTATATATACACCGAAGAGCCATTACATTATGACCACTCTGCTAATAACATGTAGGACCACCTCTAGCCCCCAAAACTGCTAGCACCCGCCGTGGCATTGGTTCCACAAGGTGCTGATAGGTAATCTGAGGTATCTGGTACCAAGCGCTCACCAACTTTCTCCTGCGATTCCCTCACATTGCGAGGGGGTAGTGTGGCAGCACGAATTTGGTTTTCCAAGTAGGTCCACAAATGCTCTATTGATTAAGTTCAGGTGAACTTGGGGGCCAAGACATGACTTGAAAGTCACTGGAATGTTCCTCGACGATTCGACCATTATGACATGGTGCATTATCCTGATGGTAAACACCATCCCCCGCAGGAAAAACTGTTGCCATGAATGGGTGAA